CAGAAGTGACCATTGTGCCAGGGCTTGGAACTACCTTATGAGCATGCCCCTGAGAAAGTGTAGGACTCTGGTCCATGAACACATCACTGGAGCCACTCCAAGGGCTTTAAATTGGTTAGGAAACCGGGAGAAGCTGAGCTGGGCAGATATGACCTGAATGCCAGCAACCTATTTTGGGCACACAGGGAATCGGTCTCCAGGGAAATTTTAGAGCACTAACAAAATCATAATCACAAGGCTCTGGGAAGCTCTGCTCTAACTCCACAGTTGTCTGGGACACCTACTCTCCAAGCCAGGCTCATCCCAGTTGGTCTTCTATCATGTTCTCCTATAGGTCTTTTTCTCTGTCCCAGGCACTATGTGTCTTTTTTAGGCCCAATATATGCACTGGGATTGGACAAAAGCTCTTTTATTTATTGACATTCTTTAGCCCTTCCCCCAGTCAGGGGAGAGAAGTGTGAGGAGTTACTAGGCTTTGACCCAGGACAGATGGGAAATAAGTGGTGTGGAGAGGATACCAAATCGGCAGCATGTAGAGGTAAGAGTGGGAAAAGAGTCTGCAAAGTAGTATCTTTTCCTTATCACATTTCATGCTCTTGTTTTAAGAACAAAATATGTGGCAATCAGCCTGCATAAATGTAAGAAGGGTGAAGGCAAGCAGGCACTGATGTGTGAACTTCAGTCAGCCCACAGGACCAAGGCTGATGGGTGCTGTGCTTGTAGCTAAAGCCCAGAAAGAATCTGAAGATGGAATGACTACCCCTAAGTCTCAAATGCACTCATACTTTTCCTGAGTTGACTTGTGGTGGCATGGAATGAGGCTGGCAATGCAAGGGCATGGGAACTAGAAGGTGGTGAGACCAGCCCCAGAAGGTGTACTGTCTTAGGAATGACACCGATGCTAGGAGTTCTTGGTACACAGAGTTGCAGCAAAGGAGGGTTAACTGGTGCAGCAGCTCCAGGGACAAGTTCCAACCTGCTCAGTTATCAGGATCTTGGTGGAGATATTGCAAGTGGCTCAGGGACCCTACCAGCTGACATTGGCTAAAATACCAGTGCAGGCACAGGAGGAAGAATCCTTGGGAAAAGTCTGCCACCACTGCCTGAGATCTCATAAAAATAGGGATGGGAGGGCTGCTATCTGATAGATTAAAAATGGGACTGGGACTAAAAAGAAGAGTAGCCAAGTGACCTGTATGGCCAGGGTCAGTGGTACCAAGGGCAGAGATGGTGTCCTTACTGGGATGGATGTCATGAATACTTCTGTATTTGGAGTTCTTATAAAAAAAANAAAAAAAAGGGGGGGGGGTCAAGTCAGAATCAATGTTAGAACAGGGCTACTTGCTCCTCTCTTCAACGTGTCCAGTGGACTGGGCAGCAAAAGCCTCCCTCACTGGGTCAGGACCTAATGGCAGAAAAAGTTGGCACCTTATTAACCAGAAAGAATAATCATTTAGAATTTAAAGCAAACCCCCTATATGTAAGGATCCAAATACCTGTTGTCCATACTATAAGAATACAAAATTTCCACTGATAACTCACCTGAAGTTAGCTTATATGACTTTCTTATCCTTTATTATTTTTTTGACAATGGCCGGTACAGGGATCGAATCCTGGACCTTGGTGTTATCAGCACCACACCCTAATAAACTCAGCTAACAGGCCAGCTTCTTATCTGTAGCCTTTCCGTTTACATACCTTACTGTTCTTCATCTTTTAATAACTATCTTCACTATCTTCCTGTCTTCTAAAATCACTTCTGGCTCCTATGATGGAATTATATATATGTTTACATATATAAACAGTAACAATTTTTTTAGTCCACTGGTGAGAAAACCGATACAATGCAGTTACCCAAAAGCGTCACTAGATGGCACTCGTGTGAAGTTTAGCCAACCTACAATTTTAAAGTTTAACAGTTTGGGGGTGGGAGTAATCTAGGATACTTCATCTTCCTTTTGAGAAGATGCAATAAACTGCATCCTTGAACCTGTCTTCAACTGCTGCCTTTTCTAGGCATATTCTCCCACCCCATTCCCTAGTTTAACAGTCAGGACAGGTTACTACTACATTCAAACTGTTTGTGGCATAAGGTGCTCAGAGACATACGGATCCCCTTTTTTTCTTTACTTTGTCCCAATGCCAGACTTTAAACTGCCATATATAGGGCTTATCCTACCGTTTTCACAGGTCTTTCTCACCCCCAATCATTTCTTTCATTCCTAATCCAGATCTTACCTCAGTCCCTGCCTATGGCTCTCACCTGACCTTGAAGGCTGAGTCTGGACATTCTCTTGATATTTTCTCCTATTAACGTCCTCTGGTGGTGGTTTAAGTGCTCCACAGCAAAAACAGCAGCAGCAACAGCAGCAGCAACAAGTGAGCAGTGCACATAGGATGACGAGTGTCTAAAAGGTAGGAGAGAATGGCCTCAGTCCAGCACTTTTTCTATATTACCATCCGAGCTCCCCTGCCTCAACTCTCCCAGAAAATGAGACAACAGAAACATTTGTCCTAGGAGAGGAGGGACACCTCTCCTTCCTTATTCTTTTCTTTTTTTTTTTCAGTTTTTAAAAAGAAGATTTATTTGACAAGTTTCACTCAGTGCAATACACCTAAAAGGAAATCACAATACAATGAAAGATTTAAACCAAGGCCTCAGAATTTCATACAAATACCAAGAATAAAATCCTAAAGTATTGGTATTGTGTCTCAACTTTTCCCCATTAACTTAAAAAAAAAAAAAAGCTTAAACTTACATGCTTTATACATTACTAAATAAAACTAGAATTAACAAATGTGCNAAAAAGCTTAAACTTACATGCTTTATACATTACTAAATAAAACTAGAATTAACAAATGTGCTAAATGTTTCACTTTTAATTGTACACACAGTTCCTATACTGAGTTTTACAGAAAAGCATGTCTTCCAACGATGGCACTCGTGTGAAGTTTAGCCAACCTACAATTTTAAAGTTTAACAGTTTGGGGGTGGGAGTAATCTAGGATACTTCATCTTCCTTTTGAGAAGATGCAATAAACTGCATCCTTGAACCTGTCTTCAACTGCTGCCTTTTCTAGGCATATTCTCCCACCCCATTCCCTAGTTTAACAGTCAGGACAGGTTACTACTACATTCAAACTGTTTGTGGCATAAGGTGCTCAGAGACATACGGATCCCCTTTTTTTCTTTACTTTGTCCCAATGCCAGACTTTAAACTGCCATATATAGGGCTTATCCTACCGTTTTCACAGGTCTTTCTCACCCCCAATCATTTCTTTCAT